GTATACTTTATACATAAAGTTCTTCACATCATCATGTATACTTTATACATAAAGTTCTTCACATCATCATGTATACTTTATACATAAAGTTCTTCACATTGTCAGGAGCTAACTTTGGTTTAATTAATGTGTACTTTATACATAAAGTTCTTCACATCATCATGTATACTAAATACATAAAGTTCTTCACATTGTCAGGAGCTAACTTTGGTTTAATTAATGTATACTTTATACATAAAGTTCTTCACATCGTCAGGAATAATTTTGAAACTTCAAATCTTCTATATTTCAAAATAACGAAAGGATTATTTGTTCTTATATTCAATGGGCTTATTCTGACAATTTTTTTCAATCTAACTTTACTGAGGAATTTCCTTTAGAAACAACCCTCTCCGTAGTGACCTCTGATCATGTCGTCATCTAAAAGTGATGGCTACAGATAGTTGGGTGTCTAATACAATAATAACAAGTCGGTAAGTTATAAATATAATGAATATTAACAAATAAATCGTACTCTTTTAATGGTCTTATTTTAGTCACTCATCATTTTCTTTTACTGTAACACGTTTCTCAAATGATAAATGAACTTGAATAAAAGTTACCAAACAGTCAGTAATTACAGCTCCATTATTTGACTTTGCTGGTATTTTTCTAAAGCAAAATTCAACTGTTTTGTAACAAAATTCTAAACAATATTTAAAACCTGAGCTACATTATGAAGACCAACAATTATTAGTGGAGATTTCTTCTAAACAATATTTAAAACCTGAGCTACCTCACCTTTCACACCACCAAAGTGTCCTGTAACCATGCAGTAAGCACTTCGTTGTAGGTTATGTTCATAAGTCAATGATAAGTAATAGTGAGTACCATGATCCACTGCACCACTAATAACTGGAAAAGAAATAAAACAAATTAATACTGTACCACAGTTGTGTTAACAGAATCTAGTAAATATGTGTGTGTGTGATCTTACTATTTAAACCTCCAGTTCACAATCTTGTTTATTAACATATATATAAAATACATCACACTTAAACAGCAGGAGTTGTTCTAAATACTAACAGCAATAAAAAAGGCCTGTCAGTAGAGAGAGAAAGGGGAAAAGTAGCTTGTGAAACAGAAGTTATCTTAAATAAGAACAGCTATTAAACAGGCCTTTAAGTTGAAAGATAGGGTGGGATGAAGAGTTTATGTAGGAAATATAAATTTTCTTAAATAAAAAAAGCATATAAGCAGATAGGGAGAGGAATAGAAATTTGTGAAGAGAGAAGTCATTTTATATACTAACAGCTATAAAAAAAGGCTTACAAACGGAGAGAGAAGGAACGAGAAGTTTTTGAAGGAAGGAGTCATTTTATATAATAGCAGCTATAAAAAAGGCTTACACAAACTTCTCGTTCCTTCTCTCTCCGTTTGAAGAAGGAGTAAAAGGTTTTACCTTTGTAAGTTGAATATTTTTGTTATTTCACACAAATGTTGTTGTTTAAATACTGTTTAAGTTTTTACCCTCCAAACTGAATGTCTTTCTGTTACCACATACAGCCAGTGTAGTTAAAACCTATCTAACAATTAGAAGTGTTTACTTTATGAGGTTTTACTAGCATGATCAATGTTCTTCCTACAAAGAATTATCCATGAACACATATCTCATGATTCAACACTTAATACTTTCTCCATCCACTTAAGCATTCCCTTTAGTTGCTGGAAATCTTAACTAAAATCCAGGTATAAACAAACCCGATATGGTGTAGACAGATAGCTTCCTGGGGTGTAAAACTGCTAGGTGAAGCTGACTAGAAGACCTGTAGGAATGAATAACAGAAGATCTTGTTACAATTAGTCTTTGTATTATTATATTCTTAATGACATTGTAAGTTAATGTCATTTATTTAAAATCTCTCTCTATATATATACACTTAAACCGATCACGTTTAAGATAAACAGAGAGAAAAACCTAAAATATCAAGTGAAACTTACGACACAAAACAGCCACTTGCCACTTGTAGAATGGGGAGATGGAGCTGGCTTTCTAGCAGGAGTTCATCTGGCCTGAAACCACTCAAAGAACCATCTTCTTGTGTTGAAGGATGAGGACTGTACACTCTCAAGGCTCCTCCATGGCTTCCAACAATGATCTTATCTAATAAGCCACAACAGAGTATGCTTCAATTTTATTCAGATAGCCAGTTGTTACTAAATGTGATTAATAGCATTGGGTAGGAAAAAGATTTCATTTCAGGAGCTAAAATTAATTTTCTAAGTACATTTTACTTCTGGCTAGTTGCCGTCACTCACCGGTACAGAGTACGAGTACTTAACTGATCTGCTTTTCATCCAATCCACATGCCTTCCATCGTACTGTCAGAAAGCAGACATATTACGACTCACAGAATCTAAATAATCATTAAATATTCTTAAAACGAACTAATAAATGGCCTAACAACACTAGTTTCTATTGACAACAAGATTGTGTGCAGAAGTTCTTTAGCAGCTTTGATATCAATCCTTGTTAAACCAACTGGATAGTCTCTGCGATCTGTACAATTTGGCAACAATAAAAATTATTCATTGTTCAGATGATTTGCTCAGATTGGCACCCACCCTTGATATTAGTACATTTAGGTTGTTTTTTTCATATTCAATGGAATGGGTAACAAAAAATAACACATCTGACGTAAGTTTACAGTTATGAAATTTTTAACTTGCATGCCTATTTAGTATATATTTGTTTCTTTGAAAAACATAAAAACAGTGACTTTTATGGAAAAACAGATTGAGCAGTTTTTCTGTAGCACGACAGATAAGGTTTAGATTTATAATTGTGGGTGTTGTTATAAGAAATAAGGTTGTATTGTTTTTATTTGTTATAAGAAGCAAGGTCGTATTGTTCTTATGTTATAAGAAACAAGGTCGTATTGTTGGAGCCCTCATCTTTTTATTGATTTTGGGTCTAAAGACAGTCCTCAGCTTTGTGTTTCGTAAAACAGTTTTAAGGAAACGAACTCCAGTTTGTTCTAATGCATTATTCTGAACTACATGTTTAAACATTTTCCAATTTCATTATTATTTGTTTTTCATTTCAAGGCACTTTCTTGTGTAACATTTGTAATTGTAGCCTTCAATGCAGGGTATGTTCACTTGCTTAATTTTGCAACTATATGTTTATCTAACAGTAGATATCATGTGACTTGCAAACCTTTCAGAAGTAGGGGTGAAATTTTCACCTTCCCAAAAAATGCTGGTTCTGATATGTGTATACAACAAAGGATTTTGATCCTGTGTGTTATATAGTATAGTCTACTACGAAAAACAATACAACCTTGTTTCTCATAACAACATAAAAACAATACAACCTTGTTTCTTATAACACAAAAACAATACAACCTTGTTTCTTATAACAACATAAATACAATACAACCTTGTTTCTTATAACATAAATACAATACAACCTTGTTTCTTATAACATAAAAACAATACAACCTTGTTTTTTATAACATAAAAACAATAGAACCGTGTTTCTTATAACATAATTAAACCTTGTTTCTTATAGCATAAAAACAATACAACCTTGTTTCTTAGAACATAAAACAATACAACCTTGTTTCTTATAACATAAAAACAATAGAACCTTGTTTCTTATAGCATAAAAACAATACAACCTTGTTTCTTATAGCATAAAAACAATACAACCTTGTTTCTTATAAAAACAATACAACCTTGTTTCTTATAACATAATACAACCTTGTTTCTTATAGCATAAAAACAATACAACCTTGTTTCTTATAACAACATAAAACAATACGACCTTGTTTCTTATAGCATAAAAACAATACACCCTTGTTTCTTATAACAACATAAAACAATACAACCTTGTTTCTTATAACAACATAAAACAATACGACCTTGTTTCTTATAACATAAGAACAATACGACCTTGCATCTTATAACAACATAAATACAATACAACCTTATTTCTTATAACAACATAATTAAAACTCAAAAATCAGTACAAAACCAATATAATGATGGGGAACTTATCATTAAAAACACTTTTCAGTATTTATAATGATAAACTGATGAAACTGTAGGACAAAATACTGAACAATAGTAAAATTCTCTTATATTAGAGTGGGCGTCATAAAATAACCAAAGCAATTTCATGTGTTTACATTAAAATCCAATTAATCTATTAAACTTGCTAAGTATTATGAAAACTGCAGCAAAACATGCTAAATCAATTAAACAAGTTTGCACAAATAAGTAAATACTTTATCAAAAATACGCATACCTTGCAAAATACCTGCAAGTAATTCATTGGCTGTAAAAAAATACATGTACAATTAACTGCAAGTAATTAATTACTTCCAAAAAATACACATTCATCTAACTGCAAGTAATTTATTACCTGCCAAAAATATACATAAAATTAACTGAAAGTAACTCTTTTTGATATGGTTTTTGATATTAAATACCTCAAGAAGTTTAATATACAAGAAAATTCAAGAAATATATATATACAGATACTACAAATGTTGAGTACAAAACCTTCCGAACTATTCACGAGTTTCTTGATTCTCACCTGCTCCCTCTTTGCTGTTGTCAATATTTGCAACACATAGGCAACCTTTGTCAAAATCCTCTTCTGAGCCACATGATACTCTCCACCAATCACGAGCCTTAAAAAGAGACATCACTTGGGTTCTCTTATTTCTTTACGTGCATAAACAAATCTTTGCACTTCTGCTGGCCCACATTGTCTTTTAACTGAAAGAAAAATTTAATCACATCAAAGTTGACATTTTCTTTCTCTGACAGAAATTCTCTTTCTCACCTACAAACAAACTAGACAGATTAGGTATCTTCAAGCAGCAAAATTTTTTTGAATGTTAGACATGGTCTTTTCAACAATAAGAATTTTGAAACTTTGTTGAATGGATGGCAACTGTCTGCTGTAGAAACATAAGTGTAGAGGACGATGTTTTGAAAATCTTCCACCTTTCATCTTCAGGCAGAAGACTTTCAAAATGTCGTCCTCTACACTTGTGTTTCTTCAACAGACAGTTGCCATCCATTTAACAAAGTTTCATCACGAAACAATCTATCAGAGAGTAAGAATTTTCTTTCGGAGATATTTGAATTGGTAAAATTTTTATTTATGGCTAAACAACTAAGGCTATCTTCTGCAATCCCTAATTTTGAGCTACTGACCAGAGGGAGGATAGCCAGTCTGCAACATCCACCATCCACATTAAATGATGGACTGTCACTCTGATAACACACAAATCTTAAAGGTGGGGAATATTTTTGTAGTATGGACAAGCTAATAATGCTATCTGCTATCAATCCTAATTTTGAAATACTAACCAAAGGGAAGGTAGAGAGTCACCAGCAACCTACAACCCATGCTAAAGGGTTGACTTTCACTCTAATAATGCACCCTCAGCTTAAAATGCAGGAAAATATTTTGTGGCATCATATAGATCCAATTCTGTCTTCCCAGCTTTGAAAGTTAGAGTTCTACCATGGAGGCTAATCCATGCCTCTTAACTGGTCGAAAACAAGACCTTTCTTTGTACAGTTTAATTAGTCATCAGAAACGTTTTAAAAGTTTGACAACAAACCTTTTTACTTACAGTAAACATAATCATTAGAACCTTTTTAAAAATTCAGTACATATGTATATACTCCAGCATAAGCCTAAGAATTTAAACTTTTGCATTTATAATTTTATTCAACTCCACCAAAAGTTATGATGCTTTAGTTGTTTTCCAGTGTAATCAATAATACAGTAGAAAATACATGACTAACATAGTCAATGTAAAACATAATTAACATATACATACATATATATAGACAAAATATTAAATCATTACCCAAGTGTGCAGAATGAAACATTGATCTTCAGCTAATTGAAGTTAGTCTTTAACCTCTGCATTAAGTTTTATTTTAAAAGCAATCATTTAAATAGAAAACTCTTTATAATATTAATTAATATGTTTACTGAATAAATTAGCATCGAAAGACAGAAAATTATTACCATCCACTATTTAATACATCACAAGCTTTCAAACTTGTACGGAGTTTATGATCAGGCAAAACTTTGTTACAAATACCAGTTATTTTAAAATGGAATGACAAGTAGAGACATCTATAATATTACGAGTAATTTTGTAGTGCTATTCATTTAATTCTGGTTTCAGTGCTTATTAAATCACTCTCTCTTTAGTACTTAACTGTAGATCATTATTAGTCTTAGCAATGACTTCAAAATAATTTTGATATGGTGGTTCATCATCTCCACTTAATGTGTGTTCATACTCGACTGCTTTGACAATCTTAACTCGGTGTGTTCTTTAACTCTGGATTCTTATTTTTGAACTGTAAAACCTACTAGAATTACATCGTGGACACCTTATTTGATAAACCATCTTAGAATTCAGCAACTTGTAGATATGTCTTTTGAACTATTTGATTAAATTGTTTTTTAATTTCAAAACAGTGTTCCTATAGAAGGCAAAACAATTAACACTTTAGGTTTAATAACTATAATATTTATCCCTGGGGACAAATTCCGATTGTTCAAATATTTCTTTTATCTATAATTGGTGGAAGCTCATTTTTAATGTTATAAAATTAGCTTTTATAAAGAACTAATAAAGGTATTATTTATCTTGTATGCTCTAAGTACTAACATCCTAATCAAATTAGTCTTACATAACTCAGGAATACAGCAATAACAGTTCAAATATAAACCTTAAAAGCCTTTTTTTATTACTATAAACCACTCTTTCTAAATATTTTGTCTGAAAATAAAAATGGGATTTTTAAGAGAGAAAGACAACTCAAAAAGACTTTTAAAGGTTTATGTTTAAATTAGTAATGTTCCATTTTAATGAGGTTTGTGTTTAAATACATAATGTTTCATTTTTTTCATTAAAATAAAAATGAGTGACCAATAGTGGGTTTCTATGTTTTGGTGGATTATCACCTTAACAGTGAAATTTATAATTCTTCTTTAGATTTCCTACAAGTAAATCTATAAATTAAATATTAAGAAACAGATATAATAAATGATTATTAAAATTTTTCAGTAAACTAAAAGTTGAGATTTTTCTACACTGAAAATATCTTTCCAATAGGTACTTACTTTTATTCACGTAACAGCTTCTCTCATTGAGTGCTGCCCTCTATATGTGCAAATATTTTTGCTCGCTACTAGCCTTAAAACTCCCACCTACCCCATGTTCAACGTGGTTATTCTGCATCTATGCTTACTTTGTGATAGGCTGTACAGTGCAGATTTTACAGTTGATAGCCAATAAGTGTACCTGGACAGGCACCACTCGCCGCTGAGTGAAAGCCACTACTTATAAGGGACATGACAGAGAAGTAAACTTACTAATTCGCAGTTGGACCGTCACGTGGAGAATGACAACAGGTAGGAATCGATATCCTGAAAAGGAAGGAACAGCCACATGATGCAGGTAGTTGGAGATGAATGTGTTAGATATAGTCCACGTGCCAGATTTGATGATCTCCTCCAAAGGACGATGCAGATGATCTGCAAAAGAAAAGGTAAGATGTCGAATCTGGTGAGAGGACACCTGGAAGATGAGTTGAGAACTGGAAGGTAAACACCAGCCAGTTAAGTCAACGAATCAAATCCGTGAGGGTAGAATTGTTGAGAACTGGGAGGTAAACACCAACCAGTTAAGTCAACGAATCAAATCCGTGAGGGTAGATTAGTTGAGAACTGGGAGGTAAACACCAGCCAGTTAAGTCAACGAATCAAATCTGTGAGGGTAGATTAGTTGAGAACTGGGAGGTAAACACCAGCCAGTTAAGTCAACGAATCAAATCCGTGAGGGTAGATTAGTTGAGAACTGGGAGGTAAACACCAGCCAGTTAAGTCAACAAATCCAATCCATGAGGGTAGATTAGTTGAGAACTGGGAAGTAAACACCAACCAGTTAAGTCAATGAATCAAATCCTTGAGGGTAGAAGATGAAAGGGAAATAGAAGTCCATCCGGATCTGCAAGGAAGTATAAATGGGAAGGGGAAAAGGTGTAAAAGAAGAGTTGACTAGCAAATCTAAGGAAGGAAGCTACAATCTAGATAAAAGAGAACATACGTGTGGTGGTAAAGAGTATGTGATGTATAAATTGCAAAGATGACCGACCTCTGACATCCATAGGCCAAGAAGAATAGGAAATAGGTTTTAAGGGATAAATGGTGGAGGGAACATGTGGCTAAGGGTTCAACGGGAGGACAGGTAAGGGTGTGGAGAAAAACATTAATATCCAAATCTGGCAATATTGTAGGGCAAGGAGGATGACTGATCTGGAAAGAATGTAACAAAAGGGAAAAGTGGGAGATGAAAACACTTAGCAGTACCTGATAAAATTAAAGGTGTTGGACAAGGCTGCACAACATCCTGCTATGGCAAATATTGAGGAGTTATGACCAAACAGCCAGATAAAATTCTGCAATGTGAAGTATGGTTGGTTGAGAAAGACAAAACCCATGGTGCAGTGACCAGTGGCGAAAGGTCTGCCACCTTCTATGATAAACCAAACGTGAGGAAGGGCAAACTGAATGGGACCAAAATGATACCACACGTGTGGTTAGTCCAGATCTCCTTCCAAAGGACTGGACATGGTGATACAGGGATTGCACAGCATAAAATGTTGGAAGAAAAAAGACTCACTAAATCTTTGTCCTCAAAACCAGACTGCTCCAGAAAGGAAGATCTTGTCCAAGGTCGATAGAAGCTGGCTGTATCATGTAGTATTGAAGGCAAAGACCTCCTCAGCCAAAAGTGCAGAACCTGAAGCCTGAGAAATGACAGATGAAGTAATAGTAGTCATGACAGTAGCACTTATGATACGAAATTCAACTGTCCCTAAACGAGAAGTGAAGGTTAGACATCAGGAAAGTGTCATTTTCCTATTGGTGAAGGGTTGCTGCATGCTTATTTGTATGCAAGGATGTAATAGAACCACATTGAATGTGGAGTAGGCAGGAGCTTCACGGGTAGTGGAGAACAAAACATTTGTGTATATAGAGAGCAGCACTGAACCATAGAAGCTATTATGTGAGGAGAGGTGAGATACCATACTGACAAACTTTATTTTAAATATTATAAAACACTGTTAAACCTTTAATTTAGAAAAATGTCAGAGAGAAAACTTTTTGCTGAAATTTAATCAATTTAAAGTATTTCTTGTCTCAATTCAAAACAATACACACAAATTAAATTATTGAAATCAGAAAAAATCAAAACAGTCAATAGTATAATAATAGTTTTTGGACAAACATGACAGATAGTATATACTTAACAAAATGGATAATAACACAAAAATTAAAATGATAAAAGAAACACATTAGAGGTTCTAATAATGATTCTTTTATATGGTACCCTGATCAAATCATCTTTAATTTTTTGAGATAAATTTTAAGCAATGTGGAGAAAAAAAAGTAATATCTACAAGTTTACAACTAGGGTTACCAACTAAGAACTTGAGTAATTGATAAATTTTGAAACACCTTTATCTCAACTTAAAACAGTTTGTATTTGGCCAATTAGTAATGAATCATTTAAGATTATCAGATCATAAGCAGCAGGAATAGTTTTGATAAATGCAATAAACACAGCAGATAATTTAACAAAGAAGCAGTCAATCAGTTAAAAAATGTTAAAGATATAATTCCAGCAAAACCATCAGAGGAAATTAAACTGTAGTATTAAATAAAACTGATTTGTGAATTGCACAAGAATCTTTAATAACAGTAATCTGCAAGCATGTGATTAAGTAATTTATTAATGAAATGTCAAATTTATGAATATATAAATAAAGCTTTTAGGCCTAAGTAAGTATTGAAATTTGTTCTAAATACAAGAGAGAACAGTTTGTTTTGTTTTAAATTTTCTGCAAAGCTATTTGAGAACTACCTGTACTAGCCATTCCTAATTTAGCAGTGATAAACTGGAGGCAAGGCAGCTTGTCAAAACCACCCACTGCCTACTCTTTTTCCAATAAATAGTGGGATTAATCATTACATTATAATGCCCCCACAGCTGAAAGAGTGAACATGTTTGGTGGGACAGGGATTTGAACCCGTGATCCACAACTTGCAAGTCAAGCCCTCTAATCATCTGGCCATGCTGGGCCCAAGAGAGAATGGACTGATTAAAATATATATATGAATAATCACCTTTGTGTCTGTTAAGAATAGGGTTATGTTTTTTTATTAACAGGGCTTCTTTTATTTTTCTTGTATTAACGTTATCTCCTCTGCTGAGTTTTACCTTAGAAGAATCGAAAGAATGATTGTTTCTAAACATGATTTTTTTAAATGAATTTCTGTTCTTGTATCTCACCTGACGATGCCAGGTAAACCTGGTGAACTGTTGTACATAAAATAAATGTAGTTTCACTATGTACAACTGATGTGAATAATAATATAAACTACCATTTCTAGGTGCACTGACCGAAAACAAAAAGTGGAATGTTTAAAAGTAATACAAACAAAAAGACTTTTGCACATTCATAATTTAACTATAATAACTTTATTCCTGAGTTACTTAAGATTAGTTAGGATTTGAATACATAAAGTATATAAGATAAATAGGACTTTTATTAGTTTATTAAAAAAATATAATGACATTAAAAACTTCTTCACAAAAAAAATTTGACATGAAATTAAAGACACAGTTAATAAGGACTGTGTGAACAATCAACACTTGTCCTCAGTTAATAAAGATAAAGTTAATAAGGACTGTGTGAACAATCAACACTTGTCCTCAGTTAATAAAGACACAGTTAATAAGGTCTGTGTGAACAATCAACACTTGTCATCAGTTAATAAAGACAAAGTTAATAAGGACTGTGTGAACAATCAACACTAGTCCTCAGTTAATAAAATTAATAAGGACTGTGTGAACAATCTCCACTTGTCATCAGTTAATAAAGACAAAGTTAATAAGGACTGTGTGAACAATCAACACTTGTCCTCAGTTAATAAGGACTGTGTGAACAATCTCCACTTGTCCTCAGTTAATAAAGTTAATAAGAACTGTGTGAACAATCAACACTTGTCCTCAGTTAATAAAGATAAAGTTAATAAGGACTGTGTGAAAAATCAACACTAGTCCTCAGTTAATAAAGATAAAGTTAATAAGGACCGTGTGAACAATCAACACTAGTCCTCAGTTAATAAACTAATGTTTATCTTTATTTGCAAGTGTGGGAGAGTGTGGTACCTAGTTTGAATAGTTAAAAAGTGTTTTACCAGTAATTTCTAATGGTTTAACCCATTAGTTAATAAAACACTTGGTCTTAGAATGAGTAATCC